AGGTGGCTTGATCGTTTGACACCTGTGGTTCGCGCAGAAACTCAGATGAAGGGTGTCGTTATTCCTGGTGATGTCAAGCAGGACATGCATGCTAATTTTGGTGGATCGCCATGGTATGATGATGATGGCAGGAGAATGTTGAGAACTTAGTTGAGCTGATTAGTTTTTTGGTAGCTGTTCGCGACCCTATATATTGTCGTGCACAGGAAATTGAGTACGTACCGACTGAGTTGATTATAGATTACGCAAATAAACTTGCTCCCAAGTCAGCTCGTACTCCACTAGCTAGGACACCTACACCTGTAGCACCAATGCAACAACGAGTTTCTAACAACCCAGGTAACAAACTTCGACAAGCTTTAGTATGTACCCATTGTAAGAAGAAAGGTCATACAGTGGATGATTGTTACAAGCTCCAGAGTGGTGGTGTCAAGAATAAGGAAAGGAGACATCCCCCCCCCCCCACCAGCCCACGGCAAAGACATGGATCACCCAAAACGTATTCAGCGGCGGCAAAGACTACGTCTATGACAGGCCATAAAGCTGATATGTGGTGTGAGTTCCATCATTCTGCCTCTCACACGGATAAATGTGCCATGATGCAAAGAGCTAGGAGCGTAGACGCAGGAACACCCCAGGTAACACAGATTTCACTAAAGCATTCGACCTAGTCGACCACAATATAATCATCAACAAAGCTATTGACCTCGAGCTTCGGAGAAGTCTTATACCATGGCTTACAGACTTCCTCAATGACCGACGCCAAGCTGTACGCTTACGAGGGGCTGTCTCCACCTTTCAGTCACTCACCTGTGGCGTCCCCCAAGGCACCAAGATGGGACCACTCTGCTTCCTTATGCTCATCAATGATGCCCTAAGAGAAACCCCTGCTCGTTGGAAATATGTCGACGACTCCACCATTGGGATCAGCGTCAACAATTCTACTCCCAACTATACCGCCCTTCAGGATTTATTGAACAGTCTCCAAAACTGGGCCACCAACAACCATGTCACCATCAACCATACCAAGACCATGGTTATGCACATCAACCTCTCCTCCGACATTGTCCCACCTCCTTCCATTACTCTAGGTCCGAACACACTCCAGGTTGTAGATTCCACGAAGCTCCTCGGCGTCACCAGAGACAACAAACTAAATTGGAAACCACACGTCAGTGAAGTTGTCAAATCCTCCAGTTTCCGTCTCCACCTCCTCCGCCGACTCAAGTCCCTCGGAGTTCCTGCACACGAGCTCCTCAGTGTTTACACAACATTCATACTTCCCAAGCTCACCTATGCCTCCCCCACCTGGTCTTCCTCCCTAAATGCCACACAACGTAAACACCTAGAAAAAGTGCAAAAGAGGGCATGCAAGATTATTCTCTCCCCTTCCTACTCCACATATCAAGAAGCGCTCAACACACTGACCCTTTCGACTCTCACTGACCATCACCACGACCTCATCTGCAAATTTGGTAAGAAGCTTCTACACCATCCTCGACACCGGCTCCTACTACCACCTGAGATCCCTAGCCCGAGAATTGCTGTTCGACACCACAACCGCATCCAGCCCATACGTGCACGAACTGATCGCTATAAGAACAGCCCAGTCCCAACCATTGTAAAAATTATCAATAACTTGTAATAAACCAGTGTATTCACTCCCAGTAAACACTACTCCTTGCACTGTCACTATGTTGAAATGCACTGTAGTTTGAGCTTTTCCCCATCTAGTTATTATATATCTTATTTGTATCACTTATGTTACTTGTATATTATTTGTAATTCGAAACCCAGTCCCCAAATATGTAACTGTATATTTTCAGCCTTCTGGCTGCCAAGCTCTTTCAATAAACCGTTAATTATTATTATTATTATTATTATTAAAGCGTGTCGCTATCTTCATAGGAAGTCGGGGGAAGACAAGCACCAGTTCAAGGACGAAGAAGGATAGGTACATCAGTACCAACGCCCAACAGCACTTCTGTGACAGCCTCTTTAATAGCGGCGCTCAACAAAGCGGAAGTGTTGTCCATTCCGGCGAGAGTTGGGTCTATCAGATTGGCTCTGGATATTGATACGGGTGCGTGCACAAATGTATTAGCTTTGGCATCCTATCAAGAGTTACAACGTAGATTCCCTCACCGAGATTTTTCATTTCGACCTACTGACGCCGATCTCAAAGGAGTTTCCGGGACGCAGCTGAACATTGCAGGGAAAGTGACTTTACCACTATGATTCTCTAGACGTGGAATTCCCATTTATACAGATTTTTATGTAGTCCAGCAATCTAATTTACCAGCTGAAGGGTTGATAGGTCTACCGACACTAAGAACGAATTGTATAGATGTTCGTCCACGTAATAATACCATTACATTTAAGGGTGTTTCCTACAGTGCTATGCGTAATTCTGCACCGTTGCTCTCCGCAAGGTTGACAGTGTTATCCACCATTCCCATTAGGAGGAAGGCGGATAACGAGTCAAAGCGAGCTCAAGACCTCACAGACTCACTTTCCCAACGTGATTATAGTTGGAAGATTGTACCTGCAGTATTAACGGGTACTCTCCACTATCAGAATGAGGAAATCACCGTGTACCTGACGTGTACACAGGGACTGATGTAGTATGTCACAGCATGTGCTCTTACGGTCATAGAGCAGTACGATGAATCTTTTCAGTGTCGACAGGACACCAACAGGCTGCTCACTTGGGGTGGAAGCCAGACTGAAGAAGGCCGGTGTCACTTCCGGAAATGCATTCCATGTGGCCCAGGCTGCCTTCTTACTATGACCTGCAAAGGCAGATACCGTGTCGCAGCCCATTATTGCGTGAAACACTGGAAGAGCTCTCGACTTCTCAGGTCCCAGGGCCTTTGCAATCTGATGTGCTGCTATGTAACGTCGATTCTTTCCTGTGCCAAAAGTAAGCAATATTTCATCTAGTACCTTACTCCATTCATTCGCTAGAGCAACTGCAAGGATGACAACATCTGTATCGACGGTACGAATGAGTATTCACCGATGACCACATTCCAAGGCATCAGCTGCATGAGCCATCATGCTAGTTTCGGCCTCTTCGTGGTTGCATGGTGCCAAGTTGGCAGTGTCCTTCTGGGGTGGAACAGTGAGTACCTGTTTCTTGTCTGTGACAACCAGCTGTTTACTTTCTTTGACAACCAACTGCATAACCTGCAAGTGCATGTACCTAACCTAACCTAACCTAGTCTAGTCTAGTCTAGTCTAATCTAATCTAATCTAACCTAACCTAACACAACACAAATCAGATTAAATTAAGTTTACCAATTATTTTTTGACTTTATGACACCAAATAATAATCGAGAAGTGATTCACAGCCCGAATTACGCTTGTACGACCATCATTTAACTTCATTGCGGCTACATTTGGGCAATTCCTCGCTCCGTCGGTACATGCACGCGATCTATTAACTCAGATTAAAGTAAGTTTTCCACTTTTTTGTGACTTTCTGACACCAAATACTAGTCGAGAAGTGATTAGCAGTCCGATTTATTCATCTAGGACCATTATTTGACTTCATTCCGGCTATATTTGGGTACATTTAGGTAATTAGTCGGACCCTTCCACTTTACCATATTTACTTATGATGTTCAATATAATTTCATTTCCCATTTCAAATGGAGCATCCTTAACTGATACGTAAGTTAAAGTTTACTGAAATTCATCACTTTAACAGTCTCATCACTGTTAGGATTTCTTAAAGTTTTGTCTTCATATTCTTCACAAAAATTTTCAAAAACAGTGTTTTCCCCAAATTTCACCACCACCTAATTGTTTCTTAAGAGTTGAAAACCAACTATTTGTTCCTGTTTTATTTTCAGTATGTCAAAAAATACCTCACATACATTTGCATATTCAGGCTTACCTGAAAACAACAGTCCGATACAGTCTTTTCTTCTTAAAAGGGGGGGTGTACGTCTGCATTTTGGCTGTTTTTTACCTCACAAATGGTGTTCTCGGCTTGGTGAGGTGGCCAGCCAATGCCACCAGTTTTCCAAAAAAAACTGGCAACGTCCACCACCTCCAGAAAATTCCTTTACACCTACTAGTGCACTATGATTTCATGGGCTTTGAAATAAACTTTGGGCCGTCAAAGGCAGCTGCAACAGCTGTAGTTCCACGAAAAACAAAGAGCTTCACGAATTCCGCTGTGTTGACTCCCGTTTTCTATGGTCACCTCATTGTTGTGTTGTCATGTAAGAGAAACAATCGAGACCCTGCAATTGTGTGTAAATGAGGCAGAAAGTCAGATCAGCAACCTGGGACTTGGTCACAATTTTCGTGATGCCTTATGGCAGCAGGGTCTACCATTAGACAATACATTTTGCTTTCAATATCTTCCCAGGAGGTAGTACCTCCCTGTTTGGTAGCTGCCTACTACCTACTTGGTGTATTACCACGGGATCTGCATTTCTACCACCAATGTGTATGTGTAAATCATTAATCCAAAATCCTGACAAATATATTGTGTGAAAATGTAAGGCTTTAGAGTTTGTCTGTAAGATGTGTATGAATCAAGATTGCTTTGTTAAAGTTGTCCACGACAAAACTGAGTTTGTTTTTTCTTGGCTCGCTCCGAGGCAGCTGATTGACTGAAATTTTTATTGGTGCCGTATAGCGATAGATTTAGGAAATATGCATCCGGGCCGAGACAGAAACACTTGGTACTGTACCACCAACACACCAATTTGAGTTATTTTCTTATGAAAATATTTTGACGGACGTTGTCTTGAAAGTTTTAAGTTTGGTTTGGAGACGATTTGAAAATCTGAAATTATTTTGTATTAGTTTCTCACCTGGTTATAGTGAGGGTAGATTAAAAGTCAACCGACCTTTGACGTATAAACACCACAGTGTACTGTACAGTAGTTGAGTAACTCAGTTGTCTCATCAACTGTTACTGAATAACGAGTTTCTCACTGCCAAGTTTATACTATGTTTATTATAGAAAGAAACCATATCTCTTTTGGTAAGTATATTTATAATGTTCTTACAGTAGTAATGATATTAAATGCAAAAATAAAATAGGCTTCACCATAAACACATGAGTTGCGGTTTAAATGTCATTAAGTTATAAGAAAGTTTCCTGAAGAGAAAGAATACAGGGGTGAACTAAACTCTTTCAGAGGTTAATGTTGAGATCAGGTACCCCAGCCAGGCCAGGCGGGTGGGTCCAGGGCCAAATGTATGGGCGTGGTGAATGAGGCGTGGCGACAGAAGGTATGTGTGGCAGCCCCAGGTGCCGTGGCTCCATGGATCCTTCTTCGGTGAGCCGTCCAGAAGGTGATAACTGTCGACCCTAGCAGCGAGGATGATCCAGAGGGTGGAGTTGTCTGCAGGGGAAGCGTAACACACAGATATTACGACAGACAGAGAGAGAGAGAGAGAGAACAGGGAGTCTATCTCTACCTAAAGTGTTTACAAGTTGAAGACGCCATATCGTTATGAAATGAGAATCAAAATAACGACATTTTCTGATAAATCTTATGATTCACCTTTACCATCAAGAAAATCAAATCTGCATATTAGATATTTAATGGAAATTAAAAAAAACATCAAGATGCTTGTTAAAGCTAATACTGCGCTTGGCATACATCAGATTCTGCAGACCTACAGTATAATGTACTTGATCGTTGGGACTTGTTGAGGTGGTAAATCCCTCATGTATGTACAGTCGGAAACCATATTCTCTAGCCCACCTGGGTCGGTGCTGGAGGTTAGTACAGTGTCCTTTCTGGACGGGGCCCACTCTAACTATCACGAGGCAACACACGCACGAACACACACAGTCATAGTACGGCTGTATAGATGACATTATGTATAAGTATTGTATATGGCATTTTATACTCTGCATTATCTTCATTATATATGAAAACGAAGAAAAATTACCATAGGTTGTAGTTACGAAAGTATGAATGGAAATAAACACCTCCAAACCACCCAGTGAATCCACACAACGTTTACAGCGCTTGTTAGTGTGTGTCTGTGCCAGACCACGATGCTTCCACCACACCCCATCTATATCTTTTATTTTAGCATCATTCGCGTAACTATATGAAAAATCGTGTTTAATTTAACTACTTATTTCAAAAACCTTAAATTACATGTGGATCAGTCACTCCTCATTTGACACACTTATAGTGTAATACTTTGACCATCCCACCTGGGCACATGGAGGCCCACGGTAACTCTCACGGGGCAACACACGCACGAACACACAAGTTATGATATGAACCCTTCCAGGCTTCACTATCATTATCATGTCAAATGAGGAGTGACTGATCCACAACACAGACTCTCAGTTCTCAGATGAAATAAAACAACAGTTTGTGGTACCAGGTGTGTCTGGTCTGGGATAGCTCCATTAGGGTGGGTGAAAGTGTCCTTGGTGGTGGTAGTGTAAAACTGGGGGTCCTGAAGTGGTACTTCATCCAGCAGCGCCTCCGCCTGCGCCTCCCACGCCCTCCTGAAGTACTGTTGACGCGGACCGCTCGACCCTGTTGATGAGATAATTGGGTAGGTGTCCTTCACGTAATTTGCACGTCAGATGTCTGTAGATTAACAGGCACATATATAATGATACAGTAGTAATACTGTTTTATTAGTAGCCTTATTATTAACAGCCTTTCTTCATTATTACATTTATATAGTACTAAGTTACTCTTGTAGAATTCGGAATCTGCTCAGTCATCCGAATATTACCTTACATCTCATGGGATTTTCTAACTTCGACTGCGCTTACGTGTTAATAACAGGCACCCGTATTATATCAATTCTACATAAGATAAAAAAGCAGTTGAGGGTGGATACCACGCACATTTTTTTTATTTTAAAGGTGTCTTACACTTTAATAACGGAAAAAATAGGTCAATATTAATATTTATATTTTCACATAGATCAAAACTCTTTGCTGGATATTTGAGGCAAACTCTCAAACTACTTCTGTTTGATAGCTTTCCTGTACACAATAAGCAATAAGCAAAATTGTGATTGTAAATATATAAATATATATAAATATATGACGTAATATACGTTAACACATTTTTTTCACGATAAATATTCAAAACTATGTCTCATAACGAAAGTTTGCATTAATACAATTATGTATTTCAATCACAGCTTTACACATTTGTGGTGTGTGTTACACCACCATCATCATCATCATCTCCGATGCCTTGTCCCCTCCTGTGAAACTCCTCACCTATAGGGATATGGTCATGACAGAAGCTTCTCCAGGCTACTTTGTTGTGATAATGCTCCAGGATGTTCACCATAAACACTGTTCTACCTGTGGAGACAGCACAGAACAACCGCTGCAGTAGTTTTCTGTCAGCTTTGATCGATTTCTGAACCTTCTGTTCTCCCATCAGTAAAACCTCTTGCAGCAGCAAATGTGTAAAATATTACCAGCAACAGTAACAACGACGACTACGGCGAAGATGACTACTGCGACGACTGCGAAGATAACAACTACGATGACGAAGACGACTACGAAAACAGCTACGATGATAATAACGACAACAACAACAACAACAGAAGCAGCAGCAAGAACAACAACAGTTGGTGTACAAATACATGGAGTATCATTAAATTATCAATCAATCAATCAGAGTACCATCCTCATATCTGAAGGTTGGCCTCCACTCTAGGCGTTATCGGGCTGTTTTTACCAAATTCCCAAGGATTTGTGGTACTCTGGGGACTGGAGACTCAGTTTTAATTTATTTCATACATACCAGTCTCTTCCTTCCAGTAGCCCCCCTACCCTTAACTTTGCCTACTAATATTTCTGCTATTAATCTTCCCTCATCTATAATTATATGACCAAATTATCTAATTTTCTTTTGTATGCATTTCAAGAATTTCTTGAATTTTTTACTTATCTTAGTACTTCGACATTTTTGTTTTCCTGTCAGTATAACTTATTCTTAAGATTCACCTATAACAACACATTCCAAAGGCTTCCGACCTCTTTCTGATGTCTTTTGAAACTATCCATACATCTGACCCCTACAATAGTCCTTAACATATTAACCTTTCAGCAGCCTTTTTCCTCAAATTAAACTTAATTTCTCTTGTAACATAGAAGGGTTACATTCCCATGTAAATACACTGCATTTTCACCTTTATCTCCACATGACCCAACCCGCTAGTTAACCAGCAGGCAACTAGTAAGACCACGAGTCATGAGATGGCTCCTGATCATCGCTCCTGAACCTAGAAGACCTCTCAACAAGACCTCCTGCTGGACCCGGAACTGCAAAGACCGGCCTCTCTCTGCTGCCATTGTTGGCCGTCTTCCCGGACCAGACCATCCACCACTGACATCGTCGACAACATCTCACGAGCGTTTTCGGTTTATCGAGCATTAGTTTGCCCTCCCCACTGGTGGTGTGAGTGACCCACACTCCAGCTGGAGAGAAGCTATAGCGCGATATTCCCTACGTGGTTTGAGCTCTTTTTCTCTTACTGCTATTTTTCCTTTTTTCGCTCTGGCCTAGGGACCTGCACCCTCAAAAGTGTATTCGTCCTGCTGTCCCCCTGTAACTGTTTACCTCCCTCCCAGGAGATTGTGAACACGAAAGGGGGTTGGAGCAAGAACCCATCCCAGCCGAGTCTTTCCAGGAAAACCGTGATCGTGCAGGTCCACCTGGAAAGAGGGTAGCAATCCTTATCCTTCCCCAATAGGCACACTTAGCTCACGTCTATAAGTGAGCAATCACATACACTAGGAAGTAGGCTTCCCCAACGGGGCTCCGGGAAAGAAGCTCAGGAACCACTCTACGACCACCCGGCCATCATTGCCAGTGGGGAGTGCTGAAATTCCTCGGCTACTTACTCAACCGGAATAGGTAGGCTCAAAAAAAAAATAAAATAAAAAAAAATAAAATAAAAAAAAACCCCACAACCACCGGTTATGGAGTGGGTACGCCCTCCTAACCGCGACCCCCGCCTGAACTACCAACCTGACACCCCGAACCACGGCAGGCTCCGCACAGAGAAAGTGGACCAGCTACGGGCCTTCCACGAAGCCCTGAAAAGCAAGAACACTGCCACAGCCTCCAACAACTCCACCACCAATGTTACCGCCACTGAGGACGACAACTGGACGAAGGTTGAAAACAAAAAACGCCGACGTGCTTTTTCGGAAAACGAATGCCGTCAAGCAGCCCAAAAGGCACCCATCACCACCACCAGCTCACCCCCAACGACACTGCCAAAATTTCGGATCTCGAAAACGGACACGAAAACGACATATGCCGCCATCACAGAGATCGAAAAACTAAATCCACTGGCCAAGTTCTCAGTGCGGCCCAACCTAAAGGGGGAGATGATTATTCACCCCAGAGACAAGGACTCCGCCACCACCCTCGGCACTACCTGCAAAACACCACCACTGTTGCATCAAGCAAGCTGGACCCCGCCAAAAAACTGACGAAGTCGGTAGTCCTCCGGTACCCAAAGGAACTACCCCTCCAACCCCTGGAGAACCACCCGAAGATCCTAAAGGCCGAGAGATGCTCTCCCCCGTCCGACAAGACGGCCACCACAAAACAAGTGCTCATAACGCACTAAGGTCCACCCCCCAGCACCATAGACCTCAAAACCTGGGGAATCTACGCAGTGAGGCCTTTCGTCCCGGAGCCCCTGCGGTGCTTCAGATGCCAGAAATACGGGCACCATCAGACAAGGTGCACGTACAAAGAAATCTGCGCAGTCTGCGTGCAGAAGCACGACACACAGTCTTGCCTCACCATGTTGAAAAATGGAGAAAAATTGCCCCCAAGTGTGCCAACTGCGGGGGCAAACACCACGTCTGGAACCCTGGATTCTCCGAGAGGACAAAGAGGGTCCAGGCAAACCGACCAGCAGCAAGACCGGCCCCCACCGCCTACACACCAGCCCCACCAAGTACCTTCGTGTGGGGAACCCAAAGGCCCAAACAACAATGACAACCTCCTCAGCCAGTCAACACCCAAAGTGCAGCCCAGTTTCCTGGCCTCACTACAGCCACACCTCAGCCACCCAAGCAGCAGACAACGACAACCACGAGAAAGACAAAAGAAGCTCACACCAAGGCACCAGAAGGAATGATACACGTATCATACTTAGCCAAGGTACTGACAACCTTCGCGGAGGGCCTAGCCGGACTACTGGGCCACAAGATCCAACCCACACAGCTCCAAACATTCATGAGGAGCGTCCTCGGGCAAATCGCCACAGCTCCAGCCACCTCAGTGGAGGACGCCACGCCGGTCCCCACACGAGTGACAGCCGAGGTACACTCTACACCGAAAAAGGCCACCGAGAACCAAAGATACCGACAGCTCCCAGAAAGAAATTGGACTTTTCAACTCCCCTGAACCGAACCACGGCCCAGAAGGCAAAAACCACAAAACAAGAAGATGTGAACCTGATCCAGTCGGAATCGGACCTGAACATTTCCATCGAGGACCACCAGAAGTCCCCGATGAAACAGTGGTGGAAAACATCAACACCCTGAACATCCTTACATGGAATGCTCAGGGCATCAAAATCAAGAAACACCTCCTGCAATAAGCAGCAGCCAAGGACAAGCTTGACATTATACTGCTACAAGAAACACTTCTACAAGAACACCACGGTTTCAAATTCAGTGGTTACAAGACATACAGGAGGCATTTCACGCAGGCGTCAACAAGAGGATGTATGATCTTGGTCAAGTCAAGCATACCCTCCTCCGAGGTCATGCAGCAATTTCCATGTGGGGAAAACATCGAGACACAGGCCGTCAAAGTAACCCTCCAAGAACGGGAATTAACTGTTCACAACATCTACAAGAACCCAAGGGGCTCACTGGAGGTTACTCAATTATTCGCTTCAGCCGCTGACCACGCCACACTCACAGGAGGGGATTTCAACGCACATCATCCCTTCCTAAGCTCGGTAAGCCCCACAAATGAAGACGGCCTACACCTATACACCACCTTTCAAGATACACCCGAGATCTGCCTCCTGAACACCGGAGAGCCCACCCACACTAGGGGAGGAAGGCTAGATCTAACCTTCGTCTCCAGTGCACTACAGCCTTCGGCCTCCTGGCAGCTACACCCCACGCTGACCAGCGACCACTTCGCCACCCTAACAACGCTGAAGGTGAACAAACTCCCCACTCCACCCCCTCCGAGATGGAGATACAATACCCAAAAGGCAGACTGGGGACTCTTTAAGAAACACCTGGCTAAGTGGCGCGAAAAATCACAGCCGGCCGGCGCAGCACCCGTGGACGAGACAACCCTCCACCAACAATTGGTCGAGGCGTTTCACCAAGCGGCAGAAGAGGCTATCCCAAAAACAAAACCCACATCAAGACAGTACAATGATTACTGGTACTACTGTCCCAGGGTGAAAGAACTCAACCACAGAGTGAACATGGCCCGAAGAAACTACAGGAGACATCCCACGGAAACAAACAGACATCTCCTGCAAGTCATAGTTAAGGATACCAGGGAAGAGA